CTTACTAGAGAGCCAGTGTGTGGTGATTTGGATGAAAATAGGCCCATAGGCTCATTTATTTGAATACTTGGTCCCCAGTGGATGGGAATTGTTTGGGAAGGATAAGGTGTGACCTTGCTGGGAGGTGTGTCACTGGGGTTGGCTTTGAGATTTCAAAAGCCCATGCCACTCCCGTTCGTTCTGTCTCTGTCTCTCCCTCCCTCTCCCTGTCTGCTTTGTGCTTGTGATTAAATAGCTCTCAGCTACTGCTCCAGGGCCACATCTGCTGCTATGCTCTCTGCCATGGAGTCATGAACTCTAACCCTCTGAAACCACAAGCCTCAAATCAAACACTTTCTTTAATAGGTTGCCTTGGTCATGGCAATTGGAAAGTAACTGAACACAAACTAAAGGTGCTCCTCCTTATAGATTCCTTCTGCTGTTTTGTCACAGAAACAGAGAGCTAACACATTGAGTAGCAAGCCAAGTTTATATCCAAGCCAAGTGTTGCATTTGTTTGGTTCTTGTTTTCACATAAACTTCCCACAAACTATTGCCAACAGTCATGACTGAAACAGCTCCTGCTGCGGTGATGACAGGCCTGGACACCACTGTCATGGCTCCACCCTCGACCAGCAAGGAATGACGCAACACCCGGAGCTCTTCTTGCAGCAGTTTTCAGGACTTTATTCACAGCAATCTATCTCCTTCTCCTTCTCTTTTTTCCTCTCTCTCTTTTTTGCTCTTTCCTTGACCTCTCTCCCCGGGCAAACCTCTCCCAGCCCATAAGTAGGCATGGGCTGCCAACCCCGAACTGCCAGGTGGGCACTGCCCATAGGCTCACGCATATGCAGGCAGCTGATAATCATTGCGTGATCATAGCATAGGTCAGGCCTTAGCCATCTCAGGAGTTGATCATACATCTCCATCAGGTGTGACACCATGCAGCTCGCTACAGTTCCCCCTTTGTTAAGCAACAGGTAAGAGTAGAGGTCTGATCTCTGTTAAAAATGAAACATACACTAGTGTTTGTCCAGGTGTCATCCACTCAGAGAACACTAGTCCTGTCCGGTGCCTTTTTACAGAGCTGGGAGCTAGACACCAACGCACATGCAATCAGACTTGCTCTTACATCTCTAGCCAAACTTGGGGAGACTGTCCTGCTTCAATGGCCGTGAAGGCCTGAATGATCATAACTGCATTGCGATGCTGTGAAACCCTTATGTGACAAATGCACCATAGGCATACCAGGGAGGCAAGCACCATTAAGCCTTGTTAGGGCTCCTACTCCCGCCCACTCCTTCAGATGATCCATGGAGTGATCCAGGAGGATAGTTCTTCTGCCAGGCTGGTATCCATGCGTGTGGAATCTGCAGTCACCATCGCCACCCGCAACTTTTCCAGTTGTTGTTCGAATTCACCAGACCAATTACCTAAATGATAGCTAGACAATTCTTTAAATTTTTCATATCACGCACACAGCCCCGGATGGATAGAAATGTCTGACAGACTAGGGTATAGACTTAACATACCCAGCTGCCATACCCCCGTGGCACATTCATTCTTGTCAGCTGAGTGCATGGAAGACACCTTCTCCCTCGCACCTCTTAGGCTTCCCTAGCAGCTCAGCTGATCCTGCTTCTGCTCTGAAAGGGCCCCGCTTAAACCGTGTTTTAGGGAATTTGGGCGTTGTCAATCTCTCTGGCTACTTCCTGCTGAGTGGGGACGTCGCATTCTTAAAGGTATTTTCTACAATCTACTGCCTTTTTCTAGTCGTGCTTGGACTCAGGTCGCAGAGACTGCAGGGGAGAGGCGGAGACTTCCCCACCAAACTGAAAGGTGGAGGCGTGGCTGCCCCGGGCTAGGACAGAGGTTCAGGCCAACAGGTCTTACCCGTGCTGCGCTGCGCTTCTATGCCCTGAGGCAGGTCCCGGTGTTTGCAGTTTTGCCGACCCTCAGGGCTGCTTGGCCTTGGAGCCGCCGCTGCTCACACTCCACTACAAACTCCGGAGGCCTCAGTAACTCAAACCACATGAATATAATTCCCTTCCTTAGCATACCTTGTTCAGCGGCAAAATCCAGATCCCTACCAAGCCTATCCCAGGATGACACATTAAGATTGCCAGAGACTGCAAACCAAGGTGCAATTGTGCCACATTCAGTCAAGAACCTCTGCAATGCGCTCAGCAACAGCTCTTTAAGAGCCAGAAAAATCAGGTGTGATGTTGAAGCGCCATTCTAAAATCCCATTCTTCCTTTTATTTTCATTTTAAACCATCCACTTTGGTCGTGGCTATACTTTAAACCGTCCGCTTTGGTCGCAGCCCTATTACCCCCACTCTCCCTTCTTTCCGGCAAGAGCGGAAAACCCGCTTTTTTTTCGCGGATCCCCAATCTTTACCTTGAGGATTATTTGGTGCACCCCGTGACTGCAGCAAGTTCTGGGCTCCACGGAGAGAGATTTGAAGGTTCCCCATACGGGCCACCAACTGTCACGGCTCCACCCTCGACCAGCAAGGATATGAAGCAACACCGGGAGCTCTTCTATTTTTTTTTCTTTTTTTCTTTTCTTTTCTTTTTTTTTTTTTTTTTTTTTTTGCTTTTTCGAGACAGGGTTTCTCTGTGGCTTTGGAGCCTACCCTGGAACTAGCTCTGTAGACCAGGCTGGTCTCGAACTCACAGAGATCCGCCTGCCTCTGCCTCCCGAGTGCTGGGATTAAAGGCGTGTGCCACCATCGCCCGGCCACCCGGAGCTCTTCTTGCAGCAGTTTTCAGGACTTTATTCACAGCAATCTATTTCCTTCTCCTTCTCTTTTTTCCTCTCTCTCTTTTTTGCTCTTTCCTTGACCTCTCTCCCCGGGCAAACCTCTCCCAGCCCATAAGGAGGCATGGGCTGCCAACCCCGAACTGCCAGGTGGGCACTGCCCATAGGCTCACGCATATGCAGGCAGCTGATAATCATTGCGTGATCATAGCATAGGTCAGGTCTTAGCCATCTCAGGAGTTGATCATACATCTCCATCAGGTGTTACACCATGCAGCTCGCTACACACCACGCCTGTCAACTCTGAAACGGACACAGGACTAGATCTGCTGTAATTAGGCTCAGGTGGACCAAGTCTAACCCTCGCTAAATGGAAAGACATCAGAGAATGTAGCTTAAGTCAACCATCTTCCTTCCAAGCACCTTCAGATACTCATTTACCAAAGAGTTTGTATTTGTAGCAAGTGGCTTCGGAGTCTACAAAACACTGTAAACCAGCTCATTAGGCCAGAGATCCACTTGCTCTTCCCATTTAACACAGAAATGCAGATTATAAAGGTGTTCTGCTGAGTGCACAGAATTAAACAAAAATCAAGACATCGTCTATGTCAGTGCAATGAAAGTGTGTGTGTTTGACAGTTGGGGCTTTCCAACTGAGCAATCCAGTCTTTTCCCTTCTGATGATGTTAAAGCAGACTGTCCTAACCTGAGAGTTTGTAAAGTAATAGAATTCACAGTGGAAAGAGACATTAAATGACTTCAACTTCTCATACTACACGCTAAGTGCCTGATGTACATACAGATACCAGCTGATCACTCAAAAAATCTTTTCAGAAGGGCTGGAGAGGTGGCTCAGCGGTTAAGAGCATTGCCTGTTCTTCCAAAGGTCCTGAGTTCAATTCCCAGCAACCACATGGTGGCTCACAACCATCTAATCTATAATGAGGTCTGGTGCCCTCTTCTGGCCTGCAAGCATACACGCAAACAGAATACTGTATACATAATAAATAAATAAATATTTTTTTAAAAAAAATCTTTTCAGAAGCAATATCATAAAACAGATAAACCAAACCTCCAACTTTTGATTCCAAACCAGCAGAAAATTGTTGATATAGGCAGCTAACAACACATTATGAGTAACGATTACCTGGCAAGAGGCACAAGAGAAATTCAAACACTTTCTAGAATGAAGTCTCTAGTGTAGGCTACTGTCCTTTAACTATGCTGTCATTTTTTCCAGTCTAAGGATTTCCCTAAATATTGAATATTAATTAAACAAAACTTAGTATTAAACTCTTATGATCTTGAGAAAAGTCTTTTATAGAAGGTGATTCCTTAAGAAACCTTTAAGACTGGCATGGTGACACGACACACACCTTTAATCCCAGCACTTGGGAGGCAAAGGCAGACAGATCTGTGAGTTCAAGGACAGCCTGGTCTACACAATGAGTGCAGGACAGTCAGGGCTACAGAGAAACTGTCTTCAAAAACAAAATTAAAGAAATGAAAGAATAGGAAAGAAATAAACATTTGATTCATTAAACAACCAGCATACAAAATATTTACAAAGGAAACATCATTGACTATCAAAATAGGCTGAAGCTTGTCTTTAAAAAGGAAGTAAGCAGGGCTGGAGAGATGGCTCAGCAGTTAAGAACTGACTGTTCTTCCAAAAGGACTTGGGTTCAGTTCCCACATGACAGCTACAGTTTCAAGGAACCCGACACCTTTATGATGTGAGATTCCCCTCTGTATGCTGTGAATACCACTGGTTAGTAAAAAAAACTGCCTTAGGCCTGTGATAGGGTAGAGTAGAGTTAGGTGGGGGAAAACTAAACTGAAATGCTAGAAGAAAGAAGGGTGGGTTTAGGGAGACGCCATGTAGCCCTGCTGGAGACAGACACCGGAACTTGACTCAGTAAGCCACAGCCACGTGGTGATACACAGATTAATGGAGACGGGCTATTTTAGAATATAAGAGTTATCCAGAAGTACACTTAAGCTATTGGCCAAACAGTACTACAAAAAATATGGTTTCTTTGTGATTATTTTGGGGCTGAGCAGCCGGGAACAAACAAGTGGCCTCCTACAACAACACCCTTACAGGCAAAATAGCAATGTACAATAAATAAATTAATTTAAAAAAAGAAAGCAAGCAATAGTATTCCTTGCATGAGCAGAGATTACAGGGTAGGTAATGTGAGTTACTCTTGAGAGTACACTGAACACTTCTCGATGTAAGTTGTAGTTCAGCAGCTTTTAAAATTCCATGTTTATTCATATTTCTCAAAATATATGTACATAAAAAAGGAAGATTTACAACAGGAAAGATTGCCTTACATGCAACACAAATCCCAATGACTCATGATGGGATCTCACAGGTTATCACCCAATTCAAGCCCATTTTCTCAAATCCGTTTCCCAGCCATATGTAAGCTGCTGGGATCCCAGGAGACACTGCAAGTGGAATGAATCTCAAACAAACACATTCTCCTCTGGCAGTATGTAAGGGGCCAGAGGATGTACATCAAAAGTTTAAGACAATTAAAATGTCAAGTGCTACAGGGAAGGAATAAATGATAAGCAGAAACTGTATTTCTCAAGTAGAAAGCTAGTGCTATTTTACACAACCTCACAATATCCTAAAACAAACACAAACAAAAAGGGTTAGGTAGTACAGCTTCATTTGCTCTTCCCCCTCTCCTCTCTTCTGTTAAAATATCTCAAAAAGGAAACCATTTGCCTAATATCAAAAGTGTTATGGAAAGGGGGGGCACACAGGTGAATCTGAAATCTGGTTATTTTAGCAAATTATATGTTTTATCACTTAACATTTCTACATTAGTAATGGAAACTTGCAAACGGACTGACAACTCATGCCCCACATATTAAAAATATATCTAGACATTTGATCAAGAATATTCTGTCATTTTTGGTAATATAAGCAACACCAGAAATCAGATTCCACGTATTCCTGTACTTCCCCTTCAGTCAAAAACCAAGTGGTGCAGACAATTTGTGCTTGCTGTTACGGGAACAATGCTCTGGGCAGCAAAGCGTGCTTGGCAATTGGTCAGGGCGACCAAAGGAGCGGAGATCTTTAGAATCTAGAGGACCACAGAGACGAGGGCTTCTCCAAAGTTCAAGCTGGAGAGAATGGTGAGTGGAGTGACTTCATAGCCGGGGTTAATCACCACAGCTCGAAGTCTCCAGGCAGAGGCAATGCCTTTCTGAAGTGTGCCTGCCTCCTTGTGACTTCCAGCACCTGACCTGTTGGTGCTTACTACAAATCTAAGTCTTTGCAACTGTTTAGATTAACTTGAAGGGGAAAAAACCCAAATCAGACCATTTAAAAAAAAAAAAAAATGAAGGTTGAGATTAAGAGGAGCAAAAGGAATAGGGTAGATTACGTAGTTCAGCAAAGTCCAGGATTATTGCAGAAATGAAGATGATGAAAAGGCAGGCACTGAGAACAGTACCTAAAGCTAACAAATGTCTACATTGGTTTGTTTATATTCCTTCCCACAATGCTCATATGGGAAGAAAAAAAAATAAAATTTGAAAGCGTCATGACTAAAACAAAAAAACAAATGCACACTGACCTTATAAAATAAGATTTTGAATTCTATCATGATACCCTTTTTTTCCTATAAAATTTACTTTTTTGCCTTGAAAGATCTTTTCATGGTAGATCTGCCCTTATCAGGCAGTTTCATCTCCTTTCTGGCACTGGCTGTGGGCTTTTTTGAGGAGCTCCCGCTCGACTTCTTGATGAGTGAGGGTGAGGGCCTGGCTTTCTTGGCAGGGGTCTTGGCCTTGGGGGGGGCTTTCTTGGGCAGCGGCCTCACTTTCCCTCTCTGGGCAGCAGGGACTTTACGCACAGGCTTGGACCCTCTCTGCTTCATGGATGCAGCCTTCCCTTGGGACTTGGCTGGAGTTTTCTTCTGTAAGCTGTGAGAACAAAAGAATAAAGGGTATTCACTCTGCAGGACAGTCACTTTGCCAAGACAAGTTCTTTTTGCTTTAAGAGAAATAGCTTATACAGAAATCACTATGTTAAAAACAGAAATTTGACTTGATTTCTCCATACAGGGTATACACAAATTTAACTGATTCATGGAAGTCTACAGATGACTTCTTAAGATAGTATGGAATTATTTTTCTTTGAATAAACTACAGACATGTATATTATGTTTGAACAAACAAGAAACTACTTATTCACACTGCCTGAAGTTTGGAATCCTTGAATTTTCAAGGGAGATCATTTAAATATTACTGAGAATCTGAGAAGGATCTCAGTGGTTAATACACATTCCTCTGCTCAGCCCCTCCTATTAGTACCACTGGATTCTGAGTGATACTAGACACACTCTGTGCGAGCACTCTACTACTGAGCTATGTTCCTGATCTTTTATTTTTTGAGAGAGGGTTTCATTAATTGCCATGAATTTTCAATTTTCCTGCCTTAGCCTCCCTGATAGCTGGAATTTTATCCATCTTTAGCTTTGAGATAGTGATTATTCTGCCTCAACAGATTCCTTGTCTCACACCTTCTCTTGGGTGGTGGTTCTTCATCCTCAGAGTCCTCTGATGATTCATCCTCATCCTCATCCTCATCCTCATCTTCATCTTCATCCTCATCCTTAGAACCATCTGGCTCTTTCTTTGGAAATAGAACTCCTGGGCTAAGGAGGGGGAAAAAGTTAAAGTCTCATGTAGGACAAGGAAAATAATGTGACCCTAGAGCCTGTCACCAGACATGCCAATTCTAGACATACTCCCTCAAAAACGTCATTAGGTTACACATATCTGTTTAGAATTTAACCTACTTTGAACATATGCACAAAGTCAACATAAATCCAGGAAAGCTCTCCATCATATTTCACCCCCTTCCTACCATCATGCAGTACAAAGGTCCATCCTGTAGTAAGCAGTCACGAACCTTCTGCCCTGTGGATCTGCCCCCAAATACACAGCAGCGAGGGGTCTGCACAATAGTCACCATGTTTTGCATTCACAATACCAGCAAGTAACTCAAAAGCTAAAGCTCTTCAAAGTTTTTGAGAAATTGGGCAAGAATCTTGTTCTCTACACTCCTCTTTAACTTTTCTTAATAGTGTGTCCATAAATTAAAACACGTATATGACCTAACTATTCAATCTACTATTTAATGTCTAAAAATTCATGTGTACATTCACTAAAGTAATGTCTTTGTTTTTAAGAATTATATAAGCAAGTCTCAATGTAGAGCTGCCGAAAAAGAGCCCACAGCTCAGGCTATGGTCTTCCTAGAAATGGAAAGGCAGAGGGCTCCAGTACCAATACACAGAACGATGCATGGCTGTTAAGAGCTTCATGCCTGTTACTGTTTCGACAAATACATCATGAATAGGAGACAAGTTTTTCAAATAAAAGTTTGAAGAAGGCAGAGCTATGATTTATGGAAACAGGCAAAGGTATTCCCATCTGATTTTCTAGACAACTAAAATATTTAATTCTCTGGTAATCTGACTGCTACTACCATTTAAAAAGATTAAGAATGGCATCAAGTTGATTTCCCAAGAACTCGCAAACCTACAGCTCTCCTAGGACGGCAGAGATGCCTGTCCTACAAAGAACCTTTTGTAGTTGTTATTTTCAGATAGTTCCAGTTCAGAGTAACAGTAACGAGGCAAGCTCTTTAACCCAAGGCTGTAACCCAGAAGCAGATTCAAGCCTACAGTGGCCAGAGCTTCACTTTGGGAGCTCACCTGGGGTAATACGGGAAGCACAGCTGGAAAGTCCCACTGAACCCCTTCCCGGAGATCTGCTCCATCCACCCATTCTTCTCACATTTCTGCAGAGTTTTTTTCAGCAAATGCACTTTACAAAAAATTCAAGAATAAAGAAAAGTTTAGATATTCAGATTTGGTGAAATCGACCACAATTAAACGCAAACCAAGTTAACATTGAACACACATACTATCTATCTAAGTCCTTTCTGCCTAAATGTAGTAATTAGTTCTTAAAACAATTATTTTTGTGCCCATATATTTGGCCAAAGTACAGAGAGACATTAGAATCCATTGAGCCAAAAACTTTTTCACAGAAGAGGCTATTGATTCCATTAGAATGGATCAGTGTCTGCAGTCTACAAGTTCAGAGTCCTGTTCTCGGGTAGTACATAACTGGTAATCACAGTCCTGAAGCTAAAAATGTCACTTCTACTCATCTAAGCATCTAATGTGTAACCTCTAAATATACTGATATCACCTCAGAGTTATATATAAAGATGGGCAGGGGCTGGGCAGATGACCCCACTGGTAAGTGCCCGAGTCAAGGTTCGTACCAGACATGGCAGTGCGCATCTGTAACCCTAGAACTACAAGTGGAGACAGGAAGATTCATGGAGCTCAATGGCACGTGTGCCATGTGTACATGAACATACTAACTATATACAGAGACATAATGCACATGCAAAAAAAGATAAGCAGGACAAATTTCTTAAAAATAAAGAGGTAAGACTCCTGAGGACTTAGAATTCTCATGCAGAAACACATCGAGAACAGTAGGATAATTCAATTAATACAAGCCTTGGTGTGAGTGAAACTGAAAAGGTTACTAAATTGGCTTCCTGATGGTTGTGGTGGTGTCTACCCAGCTACTTGGGAGGCTAGGGCAGAAGGATTTTTGTGTTCAAAGCCAGCCTGGGCTATTTTACTTCTCCCCTACCCCAAGACATGGTTTCTCTATATAACCTTATGCCCTGGAACTTGCTCCATAGTTCTTGTTCTGTATGCTGGCATTTAACTCAGAGGTCTGCTGCCTCCCAAATTCTGGGATCAGTGCCACCACCACCTGGCCCACCTGGGCTACTTAAGGAGACTCTACATTATAAAAAAGAAAACTATTATTTTCATTTTTGTTTTTTTTTTTTTTTTTGAGACAGGGTTTCTTAGTATAACCAGTCTGGTTGCCCTAAAACTTACTCTGTGAACCAGGCTGGCCTCGAACTCACAGAGATCTGCCTGCCTCTGCCTCCTGGGTGCTAAGATTAAGGGCGTGTGTCACCACGCCCCGCAAAAGAAAGAAAGAAAGAAAGAAAGAAAGGCAGAAAGAAAGGCAGAAAGAAAGACAGAAAAGAGAAAGAAGAGAAAAGAATGTTCTTTAGAGCAAGTGCAATAGTATATGCCTTTACCTTGAGTGCTGAGGAGGCAGGCAGATTGGAGTTGGAGGTCAGCCCAGTTTGTATGATAATTTCTAAGCCAGCTGGGACTCACAGCGAGACCCTCTCTCAAAAAAAAAAAAAACCCAGCTGGGCGGTGGTGGCGCTCGCCTTTAATCCCAACACTCGGGAGGCAGAGGCAGGCGGATCTCTGTGAATTCAAGGCCAGCCTGGTCTAGAAGAGCTAGTTCCAGGACAAGAACCAAAAACTACGGAGAATGCTGTCTCGAAAATCCAAAAAAAAAAAAAACCCAAACCAAAACAAAAAGAAAACCAAAAACCAAACAAACAAAAAACTCCCTCACACTTCAAGATTGTGTTTCTTCTTTCCTTTTTTTTTTTTAAATTGAGATGGGATGTTTTTTTCTTACTAGGCTGGCCTCAAACTAATGGGCTTGAGTGATCCTCTTACCTAAGGCTCCCAAGCAGCACTATGTAAGACTATATTTAAGACTATCTGTCCTGCATGTACCATCATATCATGCAAAAAATTACTTAAACAGGGACTGGAGAAATGGCTCAGTAGTTAAGAGCAATGGTTGCTCTTCCAGAGAACTCAGGTTCAATCACCAGCACCCACAGGGCAGCTCATAACTCTCTGTAACTCCAGTTCCAATGGACTTCCTCACACACAGGCAAAACACATAAATAAATCTTTAAAAAAAATTAGATAAAATATGCTAATTTGTTGTTTCTGTTAGTTACAGAATTTCCAAGTCCTTGATAGTAAATCCTTACACAATTCCCTAGGAGCTTTTGATAAGGGGCCAACCTTGCCACTCTCTCCCAGAAGATTCAAAAATGTTAGGAACTGAATTACAACTAATCTCTAATCTCAAAGTACTACTTCTGGTAAATGTAATTTCCTAAGGTAAACGACATCTTGTTATAGGACATAAGGAATAACAGCCTGGAGTAACTGCAAATAAATGAAAAGCCCCAGTAATACCAGAAATCTAGCCCCTGAAAGGCCCGAGGATCCGAGTGCCATATGAGACAAAGAGACATTATCTCAAAAATGAAACCTCTAAGGGGTGCAGAGATAGCTCAGCAGTTAAAAGCCTTTCTGCTCTTCCACAGGACCTGAGTTTAATCCCAGCAGTCATGTTCAGGCAGCCTACAAGCACATATGACTTCAGCTATAGGGGATCTAACACCCTCTTCTGACCTCTACAGGTACCAGAGACATGGCATACACTCACACAAACATATACACATACACGCAAATAAAAATAATCAAAGTAAAATCTCTTTAAGAAACATAAAAATCAATCAGTAAAAGTCAAGTCTTGATTGCTTCTGTTTCTTTTTATAAATGACAAATCTGTAATGCCTCCCCTCTTAGTTTCTAGTTAGTCAGTAATCAATGCTTCAACATTAGCAGCATGATCTTTATGAGAATATTTCTCTAATCCCATATAATGCACAGAGCTCTGACTCTTACTTTGATAGTTAGAATTGGTCCCTGGGTGGTTCTCCAGGACGTACTTCTTCAGAGCAGTGGTGGAACAGGTCTTCGGTTCATTCATGGCAGCAATGGCAGACAAGATTGCATATTCCATCAGGCTTCCACCAAGCAGGGGTTTCTCCCCTGATTTCTTCAGCTGTTTTCCAAGGAGGAAGAGAAAAGCATCAAGACAACACTCTCCCAAAGCAGGTCAAGACAAGACTCCTCTGCACCAGGTGGGTCGGAGCTCCTGCATCAGCACAGATATGTTTTATAATGAATTATCAGATCAGGGCTTTCTCCTCCCACTCACCAGGTTTCAACCTAACTGAGGAGTCCCAACCCTCTTTTGGATTATTTCTTCTCCCATCAAACCCTTCAACTCTCCTAAAACATCAAGAGATACTGTAAACCCAAAGAGACTGATATCCTTATGCCCTGGGCCTGAAAAATATTGATAAATATATAAGGGATCATACAACAGGAAATTACATGGCCTAATAATTCCAGGCAGAGACTAAGAAATAAGGATTACTAACAATAAAGCTGGACATGGTGGCACATGCCTTTACTCCCATACTTGGAAGCAGAGGCAGGTGGATCTAGGAGTTTGAGATGAGCTTGGTCTTTACAGTAAGTTCCAGGGCAGCAGGGTTCTCTATAGAAAAACCCTGTCTAAAACACACACCCACCCCCCCACCCCCCCACCCCAATAACCAGCACAATAAGTCAAATGGGAAAAGAAAACAAGAATGCTTTACAGTACTGACTTATTTTTTGAGACAGGGCTTCAGGTATCAAAGTCTGGCCTCAAACATATATGTGGAAATATGGCTCATTCAGCAGATTGTTTGTCTAGCATACATGAAGCCCTGTGTTCAAACATCAACATCCCATAAACGATGGTAGCATATGCCCACAACCCAAAGACTTAGGAGATAGAGCAGGAGGATTAGAAGTTCAAAGTCATCCTCAACTACATATAAAATTCAACACTAGCCTGGGTTACACGAGACCCTGTTTCAAAAAAGTAAAAATCCACAAAAGCAGAAAAAATATTTAAAATTCTATATTTGACCAGGAACCTTTATCTATAAAAAAAAGTGCTCCTAAAAAATGGTCAATTTTTAAATTTTCTTTGATACAGGGTTTCTTTGTTTCTTTGTCCTGGAACTCACTCTGTAAACCAGGTATGACCTATAACCCTGAGATCAGCCTGCCTCTTTCTCCTGAGAGCTGGGATTAAAGGTGAGCACTACAACACCCAGGGAAAGTTATCTCTTTTTCTTAAGTATTTCTGCACGAGGTTTGACTTTCTTCATAAACCGATAATATATTAAAACAACTACTCTTTCCTACTTAAGCTGGACATTAAAAACATTAGCAAAATGTAGAAAGTGTTTCCTCTTAACCAGTTTTTTGAAGACAGGTATTTTTCATGACATAATATATTATTTAGCATGTAAGGGTTTAGTATTGTAGGATTTTGTTTGTGCTTTATTTTTTATTCCTACACATCTTTGACAGTCCTGGTATTCATTATGTAGACAAGCTGACCTTGAATTCATGGCAATTCTCCTGCCTCAGCCTTTTCAATGCTATGAGTAAAGCATGAGCAACTAGTTACTATTATTTTTTTTACAAATTAATTTAAAAAGATAGTTTGTTTTGGTTCTGAAACAGTGTCAAGTGGCCCACACTGCCTTTAACCAAACAGTCGAGGAGGAATCTCCACACATGATTCTCTGGCTTCTCCATCCCAGCATACTGCACCTAGGCAGTCTGAAGCATTAACATAAACACCTAAGAGTTTATGTAAACTCTCAGGAGACAGAGACAGGCAGAGCTGAATTTAAGGCTAACCTGGTCTACAGAAGAAGTTTCAAGGCAACTAGGGCTAAACAGAGAAACCCTGTCTCAAAAAACAAAACAATTAGTGTAAAATATCCAGATTTTCAAAAGTTTATTATTACATTTACTTATTTATGTGTATGTATGTGGATTCACACATGCCATGACACATGTGTGGAGGTCAGAGGACAAGCTGCTTCTCTCATCCTACCACATGAGTCCTGGGGACCAAACTCACATCATTAGATTTGGTAGAAGTTCCTTTACCTGCTACGTTATCTTTCCAATTCTTTCTATTTTGAGATATAACCTCACTATATAGCTTGCTGGTTTTGAATCTGAAATCTTCCTACATCTGTCTCCTGAGGCCTGGGATTACAGGTGTGTGCCACCATGTTTGGTTCTGAGTTTTAATTTCTTATTTAGTAAATACTGATAGATGTTAATACATATAAACAAAATTTTTGAGAGTTTTCAACACAGTTTGAGAATAGAAGAGGTTCTGAAACCATCTAACCTGGAATGTCCCCGAAGCCCCTTTGCCAGTTATCTGCTCTAACTGGCCTCTCTCCACTGCTCTCTGCAGAGCGTTCTTCAACAACTGAGGCCTGCAGAGAAAAAACAAAAAAACAAGGGATAAATCTGTTAATGAAAGAAAACTTGCAGAGAAAGAGCTGTCCTATTTCCAGATCTAAACGTGTAATTCCTGTTATGTGTAGTATCCTGTTAAAATGAACAAACACAACACCAAACAGCTGGCATCCTGGACAAGTAGAATTTTTTTCCTCTTAAAGAAGCTATTATTGACGTAGATATAATCCTTACCATACAGAACAAACTTTTCTAATTGCCAGGATGTGACAAAACCCTGTAATTTACTAACATCAGACTGATGAATGCCCTGAACAATTAAATAAAGCAAAGGCATCTTTTTCCCACTAATGGGTGCTAACCTGCTATGTTGTTCAAGTCACACAAAGGTTTTGGCTTTAATCATACCAACCAAATTCATATGTGGGATATATAAGAATACTTTAAAAAAGTCATTTTGGTGGTAACTGATACAGGTCCTAAGGAATAGCATCTGAAGTTGACCTCTGGCCTCCACATGCACATGTATACACATGAGTGTGTGTCCCCCAATATGTACACTCTATCATCCCAAAAGAAAAAAAGTAATAAGGGATCCTGCCAGCATCTTAACACAGTATGATTATAGATAGAAAACACTCATGCTTATCCACTATAACCACAGACTTCCAGACTGCATAACTGTGGGAAGCAAACTTACATTGTAATGTCAATGACAATGATGATGATGACAAAGCAATTAAAGCAGTCCACTGGAATGACTTTAAAGACCTGAGCAGCCAATGATACGGCTTAGTCAGTAAAGGCCTTTGTCAAGCCTGAAGACCTGAGATCACTCACGTGGTGCAAGAGAAGAACTGACTTTAAAAAAAAAAAGGGGGGGGCGCGATGCTGGAGAGATGGCTCAGTGGTTAGGAGCATTGCCTGCTCTTCCAAAGGTCCCGAGTTCAATTTCCAGCAACCACATGGTGCCTCACAATTATCTGTAATGGGGTCTGGTGCCCTCTTCTGGCCTGCAGGCATACACACAGACAGAATATTGTATACATAATAAATAAAAAAATAAATATTTTTAAAAAAAGAGAGAAAAGAACCGACTTCCACAATCGTTCTGTGGTATGTGTACTTGACACAAATACACACAGTAAAAAAAACTTTTTTTCTTTAAAAGGTTGTCAGGACTTCACTGTGACTGCTGAGAAAAAAAAGCGGGGAGGGAGAGATTTACAATAAAAAGGTGATGGAAACTGGGCAGTGGTGGCACACACCTTTAATCCCAGCACTTGGGAGGCAGAGGCAAGTGGATCTCTGTGAATTGGAAGCCAGCCTGGTCAACAACTATGACAACCTAAGTGATTGGTATAGATGTTCTGGGAGCCAGATGTGATATAAGCCTTTATTCCCAGCTTTCAGGAGGAAGAGACAAAGGCAGGTGGATTTCTGTGAACTCAAAGGGCAGTTTGAGCTAAATACTAAGACTCTGTCTCAAACACATGAAACACACACACACAAAGATAGTTTTATGTTTAAATGATGAAGATATGCTATTTCTTTTTTTTAAATATTTATTTATTTATTATGTATATAATATTCTGTCTGTGTGTATGTCTGCTGGCCAGAAGAGGGCACCAGATCTCATTACAGATGGTTGTGAGCCACCATGTGGTTGCTGGGAATTGAACTCAGGACCTTTGGAAGAGCAGGCAATGCTCTTAACCGCTGAGCCATCTCTCCAGCCCCAAGATATGCTATTTCTATACATTTATTAAGTTATCTCCCCTTTAAAAAAGGTTTTTAACTACTTTTTGTGGGCACATGTATGTAAATCAGATGACAATTATCAAAAGACAGTTTTCTCTTTACACCATGTGGGTCTTGGGGACCATACTAAGGCCATCAGGCTTGGCATCTCTATGGCTTCTATTTGCTATTAAAGCCAGAGTCCTCATCTACTCCCACAGTCACAGCAAATAGAAAATGAGTATCTAAAGCTGACATAAAGTTTGTTTTTGTGTTTGTTTGTTTCCTAGAGACAGGGATTCCCTGTGTAGTCTGACTGTCCTGGAACTCCCTCTGTAGACCAGGCTGGCCTCAAACTCAAGAGATTTGCCTGCTTCTGTCTCCTGAATGCTGGGATTAAAGATGTGCATAACTACTGCATGGCAAAGTTACTTTTTAATACTTATATGTTTATGGGTATTCTCCCTGCATATATATATATGTCTGAGTACCTGGTACCTGAGGAGGCATCAAATCCCCTGGACCTGGATGGCTCTGAGCTACCATGTGGGTACTGGGAATCAAACCTGGATCCTCTAGAAGAAGAGCCAGTAGTCCTAACCATGGAGCTATCTCTCTCTAGCCCAACAGGAAAAGAATTACAAGGACTGGGAAGATGGCTCTGTGGGTGTGGTGGTTTGAATAAGAATGGTCCCCATGGGCTCCTATATTTGAATAATTGGTTCCTGGTTGCTGGAACTGTTTGGGAAGGATTAGGGAGTGTAGCCCTGTTAAGGGAGGTGTGTCAGAGGTGGACTTTGAGGTTTCAAAGGACTGGTGCCATTCCTTTGCTTTGCCTAAATGGACTCTAATTCATTGAACTCATAAGCACAATTAAACACTTTTGTTTATAAGTTGCCTTGGTTATGGTGTTTTGCACAGCAACAGAAAAGAAACTACAACTGTGTAAAATACTTGTCATTTAAGTATGAGGATTCAAGCTCAGATCCCCAGATACCATGTAAAAGCCAAGTAGGTGTGGTGGTCCACCAGTGTTCTCAGCTTACAGGAGGCAGAAACAAAAAACTCTTGGAGTAAGCTGGCTAGCCAGACTAGCCAGAGTTTAGTGGGATAATCAGGATAGACATTCGATGTCAACTTCAGATAACTGTATGTGCGTATGCATCTGAACACACAAATACATGCCCCATATATATTCCAAAAGCACATGCACATCCATTGAGTGTGCTGTTACAAACTGTGAGTTCATCACTTGGGAGGTGGAATCAAGAGGGTTAGCAGCTCAAGATCATCCTCTCTGTTATGTAGCAAGTTGTGGCCAACCTGAGCTACATGAAGCCTTTTCAAAATAACAAAAACAAAACAAAACACAATAGGAACTGGGTGGTAGGGGCACACACCTTTAATCCCAGCTCTTAGGTGGCAAAACTCTGTTGAGTTCAAGACCAGCCTGGTCTACAGAGCTAGTGCTAGGACAGCCAAGGCTATACAAAGAAATTCTGTGTCTTGAAAAACAAAAAACAAACAAACAAAAAAAGCAGTAAGAGAAAAAGAATTACAGATGACTCTATATACTGCACTTTCTGCAGGAACAACTGGATCAAAAACATCTGGGGTGGGGGTAGCTATACCTATACTGAATACATATATACTTTTCCCTTACCATTATTTTATACATTACAAACCTATTTACATAATAATTATGTTAGGTATTTTAAGTATTCTAGGGAAGATTTAAAATATACAGGAGAACAATACCAGTGGTGCAGGCCTATAATACCAGCTACTCAGCAGGCTGAGGCAGGAGAATCACAAGTTTAAGGCAAGTCTAGGTAATTTAATGCAACAGTGTCTAAAAACAAAATGTAAAGAAGGATATAGTTATGTGGAAAAGGCTTGTCTAGCATGCGTGAAGCCCTAGCTTCAATTTTCAGTACACCAAAGTTAAACACACAGAAGCCAGGCATAATTCCACTATTAAGGGAGAAGCACAAATTCTATGAGTCTGAGGACAGTCTAGGCAACACAACGAACTATCTTAAGAACAACAAAAATTATACATGGAGACGCACATTGAATCACTCACAGACAAGACTATGTAAAGGTATGCTTGAGCACCTGGAGGACTTTGGTATCAAGGAGGCTATTGGAACTGCCTGAGAAGACACCTAAACTCTGTTAAGATCATGTAAGAATATGTAGTTTATGTTTAAACAATAAACAAAAGAACAACAAAACTCCTTACACATGGTATAAAAAAGAAAACATGGGAATTTGGAGACAAAAAAATAAAACCATACAGAAAGTTTTACCTCTGTCTCACCCTAAAAAAAAAAAAAGCTTCTTAATATGTCAGCTGTTTCCTTCTTCAAGAACAAAATGCACTGCTTTAGAGTTCAGGGCAAAGCTAATACCTGATATCCACTCTAAGCTTAGGGTAATACTGAGACACGTATTTCCTGATGAGACTGTAGGATGCTTCTTTAGGTTCACAAAGTCGAGTAAAGGCCAATGGGAGAATATCTTCCAGTTTTACTTGTGGTTCTGGATCCACCGCTGAGCCCTTCTGCAACACAGCACAAGTTACAATCATTACACAACAGAAAGCTGTCAGCCCACATGCTACCTACAATTCTAGGGCTTTCCTGCATCACTGTCAAATCAACTGGCAAATGGAAAAGTGTACTTTCTCCCATATTCAAGTAAAACAGAGCATGAGGTTCAGAGTGTAGCAATTTCAGATTCAAAGAATAAAAAAACACACAGAGAAACCAAAAGGAAGAAGCAAGTCATTCAAAGACCCACTTTCTCTCTTCATCTCCAGTGACCAGCAATGAGGTGTAGCACCAGGAAGCACACCACCAACGCTCTTTTCCAAGTGTTAGAGAATTCTATTTTTAAAAGGTATGAAGCTGTGCCTGGTGCTGCATGCCTTAACCCCAGTGTTCTTGAAGTAGGAGGATATCTGTGAGTTTGAGGCCAGCCTGGTTTATATGGTAGATTCCAGGATACCTAGCGATATGTAGAAAAACTGTCTCAAAAGTAAAATTAAAATAAATTTTAAAAGGCATAAAACTTTCAGAGTTATAAGAATGATACAGATCTTCATCATTGACACAGACAAATATTACTTCATTTAAAATTTTTTAGCCATGTCAGGTAGTGATGATACCACACCTTTAATTCCAGCACTCAGGAGGCAGAGGCAGGTGGATCTCTTGAGTTTGAGGCCAGCATGGTCTACAGAGCTAGTTCCAGAACAACCAGGGTTACACAGAGAAACCCTGCCTTGAAAAAACAAAGCAAAACAAAAAATTTTAGTCATTTTTTTTTTAAAAAATAAAACTGTTTTGGGTGATAGTACTTACAGAGCTGAGAAGAAAAAGGGGATCTGAGGTTTGGAGTCTCGTGTTGCAGAAATATACTTTTATATTTCCTCAAGCTTAATATTTATTTCACAAAAGAGTAGTGTAATTCATACAGCTGCCCATAATTCAATATAAGACATTAAAGACCACAGACTTACCAAGGATGGAGTGCTAAGGTTTGTAATCTGACTGGTCTTCACACTTATCTGGGGGATTCCTTACAACGTCTCTAGCCCTCAGTAGAAAGGCTGCACTTCAAATAGTACTATTCACGGGCATGCAATTAATGCTGCTGTCTACAGTCATAGTAATAACAATTCAACACCCAAACTGTGGTATAAACTTACCTTTCTGTTTCTGGATTTCTGAGGTGTTTTTCTTGATTTCTGAACCACAACAAAACTGCCAGATGCACCTTTTCCTTTGACCTAAAGTAAATATAATCTGAGTCATTCCAGTATTGAGTTAGTAACTTCACACTAGAGGGTTACAGAGCAAGAAGCAAAAGCTAATGTGAAGTGCTGCTTAAATCTGGAGAGAAAAGAACAATTGAGTCAGAGGCAAAATTTGGGATAGGACACCACACTAGTAAACTCTGGATAATCCTGTCACTCAGACTCATCTAATGATCAAACATTTCACAAAAATAAAATAGATTTATCAATCACATAAAAAGGAAATCACCACACAATAGAAATCACTTTATGTATATATGCACCCCTAAGTACCCACCACAAAGAATACACTCAACATATACGTACTGAATGAACTACTCACTGAGGGTTCCTAGGCAGAGTTGAACAGACATACCCCATCACACTCTGTAGAAAGTATCAAAGAACCCCAGGAGCTCTTGGAATGTGATAAACTACTTCCTAAGACTAGCTCTTTCTGCTATCATGGGATCTTAGTGGTTATTTTTATCACTGTGGACTTCTGAAGAGTACTTGAGATAAAAGTCCATTTTTGCCTTAAGGTTGTTGTGGTTTTATTCTAGGACAAGGTGATCAGGACTTCATGTGTGCTCAGACAAGTGTTCTAGCTGGAGTTGCAATGCCCACCCTAAGCTGTTCCAACTCTAAGCAATCCTTTGAGGAACTACACAAAGTTACACAGATTATGCTTGAAATGAGAGTTAATTCTATTCAGGTTTTATCCGATGCCATCTAGCTCTCAGGTGTTAATAGTTTAAATAATAATCAATTGAGGCGAATCTACTTAAAAGTCAATTTATTAAGCATCCAGTTGAATCACATACGTTAAGTTTTAGAGGTAACAAACCTAAAACAAAAGCAAATCTTCTGTTATGCAACAATAGTATTTCTCAACCTTATTATCATTTTTAGAGCTATGTAATTTTCATTATCATCCAGTCTCCAAAGACCCAACCAACAGCAAGCAAGCAGAGAAAACTCATACCATTGTAATGCTCTATTAAGAGTGACCTACAAAGGCAACTGCCAGCAGGATCTGAGGTCTGTCCTCACATAGTGAGACTAGGTCCAGTTGAATTGTTTTAGTCATGTAGCTTACTTTAACAAAAGAAAGATAAACCTAACTTGCTAGAAATGGACTTAGCATAACTAATATATGACATAATCGAGTTTTCTAAAGTGGTGTAATACCTGTTTGATGACTCCTCTGCTTAACTCCCTTTTCAGAGCTTGCTTAAGGAGATAGCCCCTTCTCTCCAGATCCAGAGAAGGGTACTTATGGATGATGTACTTTCGAATAGCAACCACTGATGCGCCACTCTTCTGGAAGCATGCCTATAAAATTTTCAAACCATACATATTAAACTAGTTATTTTTTATTAGAGACTCTGTATCATTTTCAAAATAAGTTCTTTTAGAAGTGAACTAAATGGTAAAGTGGTAGGGAAGAACGAACAGTGCTTCAGCTAGCTCAACTTAAGCATGTAAAGGCCATGGAGAAAAAACACTAACAAGTACTTCTGCAACAATTTTAATTTTTCAGAAGCACAAAACTCTGAGTATGGTGGCTCACACCTGTAATCTCACCTCTATAAGGTGGGTAGGTGCACTGCTGCAAGTTCAAGGCCAGTGTAGGCTACAAAGTGAGAACCTGTCTATAAAAAGCAAAACAAAATTTAGGTAGTGGTGGCGCCCACCTTTAATCCCATCACTCAGGAGGCAAAGGCAGGTAGAACTGAGTTGGAGGCCAGCCTGGTCTACAGAGCAAGTGCCAGGACAGCCAGGACTACACAGAAAAACCCTGTCTTGGAAAAACAAAAAACCCCACAAAACAAGAACAGTCAACCCCCAAACCATCTTAATTCTGAGTGGACCATTCCCTGGGCAGGGACTCCTGGGCAGTATGAGCAGAGCGGGAACTAAACAAATGCATGTATCTATCATTCTTCTGCTTCCAGATGTACAGCCACCACTTCCTTTTATTTTATTTATAGAATTTCTCCATGTTGTCTTGGCTGCATAAAACTCTTTTTTTTTTTTTTTGTTTTTTGAGACAGGGTTGTAGCTTATGAGGCTGTCCTAGACCAGGCTGGCCTCGAACTTACAGAGATCCGCCTGTCTCCACCTCCCGAGTGCTGGGATTAAAGGCGTGCGCCACCACAGCCCGGCAAACAAAGGGGCCCCAGGTGCCCAGTGCTCAAATACAGGGCACAACAGCTTTCTGTTTTTTTGTGTTTTTTTTTTTTTTTTGCATGAGATTCTTAAAGAGAGACTACGTAAAGGATAGAGGTCTTGGGGCTGGAAAGCTACCTCAATATGCTCTTGTGGAGAAACTGTACTTGGTTCCCAGCATGAACACAGTAGCTTACAACTGCCTGTAAGTCCAATTCTAGGGCGTTCAAGTCCAATGCTTTCTTTAAGTCTCCAAGGGCTCCTGAACTCATATGATATAATAAACTCACTCAGAAATACAGAAATAAAATAAATCTTTTTCTTTTAAATACAAGGCGGGGGACGGGACTTAGGTTTAACTAGCACAAGGCCTGATATTTGATCCCCAGCAGTGGGGATATTGGGAAGAGTTACATAATGAAGGCACTCTAAGATCAGACTTATTTCATCTGGTCGAACAGGAAAAACCTATAATCTTGCAGATGATTACAGGTTCAAAGTCATTCTTGACTATACAGGGAGTTCAAGACCAATCAGCTTGTGCTCCATCAGTAAATTCACCCTGAACCTCCCCCCCTACATACCTGACAGCTACATATGCTAATAAAAACGCTATGAAGGAAGGCTAATACTTTGAAAGGGTTAGTGAAGAATCAAAGCAACAGGATTTGAAGGATTTGAAGTTTCTTATTCTAGGTATGAAAAGTGCTTTATATCACCAGGCAGTGGTGGCACATGACTTTACAGCCTGATCTATCGAGAAAGTTCCACGTCAGCCAGAGCTGATACACAGAGAAATCCTGTCTCAAAAAAAAAAAAGAAAAAAAAGGGAGGGAGGGAGGGAGGGAGGGAGGAAGGGAGAGAAGGAGGGAGAGAATGATAAAGGAAGGGCTGTATAAATCATATATGTATGATATATTTGTATTAGAAACTCAGCTGTACAAACAAAACTAGAGAATAACTTTCAATAAAAGTTCTGCATGTTTTCTAATGATTCTATTTTCTATATGTATGTGTGTGTGTGTGTATGTGTCCCTGCAGGTGGAATTATAGATGAGCCAGTCAATGTGGGTGCCAGGAATAGAACCAAGTCCTCTGTAAAAGCAGCAAGTGCTCTTAACTAACAAATCATCTCTCCAGCCCCTTAATGTGAATTTTAAAAAACAAATGTGCTTTCAGGGAATGGTGGGGCACGCCTTTAATCCCCACCACCACTACACTTCTGAAGTGGGGCAGGCAGATCTATGAGTTCAAGACCAGTCTGGTCTACAGGGCAACTTCCATGACAGGCAGGGCCACGCAGAAAAACCCTGCCTCAGAAGGGGAAAAAAGTGCTCATCAAAGCAGGATTTCTGACGTCTGGACAAAATAAGCTGCTTTCAAATAAGGAAAGCTGAAGAAGGCAAACCTGAGTTGACTGCATGAAATAACAACTTGCCTTAATGGCCTCAGTTAGGATTGCATCCATCTTGGGTCGTGGGGAAGAAGCCATTGGTGTTTGTTTCTGGGCCCGGGCTAGCTGACTGGCAGAAAGAGTAGCCCAGGAAGGTATTGTTTTTTTCACCTTCTTTTCCTTTTCTTTAGACTGATCTTTCTCACTGAAAAACAGAGTTTTCATTATGAAAGATGAATTCTTCTGAAACACAATCAACATTCTGTACTCACAGACTTCACACATTTGCATTCTGCACTCAAGGACTATAAACACTTTAAGGGAAACAGCATCTGTACTGAACACGCAACTTTCTTTTCTATCATTAAGTCACATAGCACAGTAACTGTATACAAAGTACTCTCAGTGCATTAGGTTTAGAACATATAGGAGGACACACCTAAATCACATGTAACACTAAACCAACTCACAGAAAGGACTTGAGCACCTACAGATCTTGGTACTGTAGGGGTCCAAGAACCAATGGCACACTAACACCAAAGGGCAATCATATAAAGAAAAAAAAAAAAAAGGTCACAGAGGGAGAGCCACGTATAGGGGCTGTAATTCCAGCACTAGGGAAGCACAGTAACCCTAAGTTCAAGGCTCCACTAGCCTAGGCTAGATAGCAAGTTCCAGGACAGCCACAGGTACAATATGAAAACTTGCCTGGGGGGGAAAGGGAGGGAAGGCTTTAATTTATTTATACTTATAAATAAACTTATATTTACATATAATATATTGTATAAATTATTTAATCTATATACAAATTTAACATTTATAAATTGTTTTATTTATATATAGAATAAGCAAAAAATTACAAGATATTAGAAACTTTCTGGTACTATAACTGAATCAAGAGATTCCTCTTAGGTATGAGCTAGAAAGATGTTTCTCTTAGGCACAGGAAAGAGCAATCACATTAGCTGTCACTAAGAATGAAGTGAAAATTCTAGCTGGAGGGTTAAGTTCAGGGTAGGAGCACTGGCTGACAGAGGACCTGAGTTTGATTCCAGTACCCATAAAATGGCTCACAGCCATCAGTAATTCCATTTCCAAGGGATCCAACATTGTCTCCTGGGCTCCATGGTGCCCAGGCATGCACACGCAAAATACCCATACACATAAAAAATATAATAATACAAATTTGTAATCACTTCAAAAGATGCAATGGGATATGGGAAAAGATCTTAAAGTCCTAAGTGTATGATGTTAGTGTCTCAATCATCTAAACAGAAAAACAACATCAACTACCTTCAAGGTAAAGAATAAACAAATTTGAGGCTAGAGATGATGTGAATTCATTTTAAGTAGTAACAGTAATCTACTCACCTAACAGAAGTATTAAAATACTACAGAGTAGGCACAGCCAATAAAAAGCACAGGCCTTACTCTTAAAAATGGGGATAATTACTTCTTAGCTGGGCGTTGGTGGCACATAACTTTAATCCCAGCACTTGGGAGGCAGAGGCAGCCGGAACTCTGTGAGGTTGAGGCCAGCCTGGTCTATACAGTGAGTTCCAGTATAGCCAGGAGTGTTACAAAGAGAAATTGTCAAAAAAAAAAGAGAGAGAAAGAGAGAGAGAAAAGGGAGGGGAGATCAAAGATTTCCTGAGTATACATGGGAAAAGTATAACTATTACTACTATAGTTAAAAAAGAAATTGTGTTTGTGGACATGTGATGTGCTCACAGAGACAAAGGTAAACGTTGGCCGTCTTCCTCAATTGCTCTCTACTTCTTCCTTTTAGAAGAAAGACAGGCATATGGTGGCAAATACCTGTACCTCAGCACTTGAGGTGTCACCAGATACAGAGCTTATGCTGCTCTTGATATGATGTGACTGAATATTTTAACAAGCACATAACAAAGGGTGAAGTGTCTTTCAAGTCAGGATTTTGGTAGTTACCACTTCTTAATGAGAGTCTATCAAAGCTTAAAAAGTATCAAATGTCCCTTTAAGGAATTCTAAACACAAAAACACATTCCAGAAAACAGAAACGCTTACTCAGACTATCATGCTAACTAACACTACAAACTCTAAAAGGCATAAAAGCGCATAGTAAAACTTTTCCCAACAGTGATTTCACAAAGCAAGCCCAAACAGTGAATGCCCAGCACGAACAGCTGACCTGCAGTCTCACACAGCCTTCAGCTATAAAGAGCAAGAAAGCGTAGGCCTTACTCCTTCTTGGTCTCCTCAGAAGACTTGTTCTCTTCCTTCTCTCCACTCTCGGGCTCCCCCTTGGGCTGCTCCGCCTCACTTGATGGAGCAGGCGGGGTTTCATTCCCCTGTTCTTCTACAGTAGAAATGGACTCCTCGGAACTTCCATCCGGTTCTAAAACACAGAACCCCCCACCCCATCCAGTAGTCAATAAACGTCAAAGACATGTTACATAACAGGCTTGCCAACTGTTCAAATTAACAGATGCATTCTAAAATGAATCACACGGCTGTGGCATAAGAGTGCCACCATTGCACTGGCACCCTCTTCCATCTTAAATCATGAGTTGCCTGTTCAAGTAAGTGTTCACCCAGACCATTATGTGAAAAATACCCAACACTGCATGAACTAGGCAGAGGTGAGGATAGGGGTTTTCAAGGTCACCCTTCTCTACACAGCAAGTTCCAGGGATTGCTGTATCAAGCCTAAAGACTAACTCAAAAAAGAAAAACATTTTAAAAGAAGAGTTTAAAATTTGGACATGATTTCTAAAAATTCTTATGAGTGAGTCAAAAATGTAAGGGTTTGGTTTTTGGTGGTGGTTTTTGGGACAGTGTCATGCTATATAGCCCTGACTGGCCTCAAATTCAAAGCAACATTTCAGTCTTCATAGTATGATATATCATTCTGCTACACGGCCTGTAAACTGACACTTATCAGAGATGCAGTGATAAATAATCAACAGTACTTTTCAGCTCTGCCTCTCACATTCCCTATTACCTTAAGCATGACTGCTCAAACTGGGCAGCACTTAAGGATTCTGAGATAAAATCCAGATTCAAAAGAAGAACCTGACAGGGAGAGAATGGTGTGCTCATTTCTGCAAACCCAAGATGTACAGGGGAGAAATTTAAAAAAAAAAAAGAAAGAAAGAAAGCAAAAAGATCACATGACAAAGACTAAGAGGGAGCTGGAACAGGAGGCTAGAAACAGCGTGAAGGAACACCATTTCCCCAGGCTGATGGACCTAGTTCTCTGCCCTCCAGTCCTAACCGGCTCATATCCTCTCCACTGACACAGATCATACACAATGTTTTACAGCCCACAAGATTCACTATGGCGGGGCTGGAGAGATGGCTCAGTGGTTAAGAGCATTGCCTGCTCTTCCAAAGGTCCTGAGTTCAATTCCCGACAACCACATGGTGGCTCACAACCATCTGTAATGAGGTCTGGTGCCCTCTTCTGGCCTGCAAACATACACACAGACAGAATATTGTATACATAATAAATAAAAAAAAATGTAAAAAAAAAAAGATTTAAGAAAAAAAAAAAAGATTCACTATGGCCTTCTAATGATTTCACTGCCCATCCTGAAAGCCCAAGCCTTCCTGAATTCCAGAGCTATCTCTCCCAGGACACTACTATGTCTAAAATGTCACACCAATTGTTTCTCATTGTTGTTTTTAATTCCAAGAACATTATATTTTATTTTACAAAAGGTTTCAAATAGAAAATACACTCTTTACTTACACAGTCCAGCATGACATACCAATATCTGCTACTTCTATGTTCTTTAACATTTCATCATGAACACGAGAATAATTAAGTCCAAAAAGATTTAAGGAATATTTCAATTTTTTTTTTTTTTTTTTTTTTTTGGTTTTTTTGAGACAGGGTTTCTCTGTGGCTTTGGAGCCTGTTCCTGGAACTAGCTCTGTAGACCAGGCTGGTCTTGAACTCACAGAGATCCGCCTGCCTCTGCCTCCCAAGTGCTGGGATTAAAGGCGTGCGCCACCATCGCCCGGCTGGAATATTTCAATTTTTTAATTGTGGCTACTTTACCTTACCTGGCTTTTCTTCCTCCCCTTCAGCAAGCTTGCTTTTGGGTGGAGTTTCTCGGGTGGAATTCACAGTTCGACGTATCGGCATGGTGCTATCCTCTGCCTTCTAAGAAAACAGATGCCCATAATCACACAGGATAAAAAGATACCTGTCTCTCAAGGGACCTAACTGGGTATCAAAGATGTAGGAGAATTCTTCAAGTCTACTCCAGGATCTGAATCAAATTACTTTTAACAAACTGAAATTACTTTTAACAAGCTGTTTTTTTTTTAAGTGAAACATGATTTTGAAAATATTCAAAATATTCATTTGAGATAGAACATTAAACGGAAAGTTATAGGTAATGTGGAATCAATTCAGAAGGCTGAAAGTTTTATAAAGAATTTAAGGGGAAGATGAAGAGAACTTTGTATCTATGAAGAACCCAGCAGAGCCTGAAGTCAGGGATTGATCCAAGAGTGAGCTTCAAGAATGCATCAGCCCCTACCTCACCTAACTTGTCCGGGTGGATCAGCTGAGCTCCTACTATAAGTGGGAGTGCCTTAGGATGGACGAGTTCACCTTGAGACATATCAGTCGCCATTTAAAATAATTTTTAGGCCTGAATACTGGTGACACTCTGAAGCCTCTGCTGTTAATCACAAGGGTTTTTCCTAATGGCTTCAGTGTGAAGAGTCAACCTAAAGCACAGAAAAGACTTGGTGTGAAGATCAATAGAAACAAAACTAAACTAAATTCAATATTCCAAAGGGAATAAATATAACTAAAACTTTAAGTTACAGATGACTTAGTTATTACTAAAAAAGCAACATTGTTAGCATATTAATGTAAAGCAGCGACTAAGATGAACGCGTAAGCCACAGCAGCTTTGCAATTTCCACAGGAACCAAGGCAGCAAGGACAAGAATGAGCTAAGGAACCTGACCCCCAACCCCTCTTGCCATTCATCTGGAACTTAGGAAGAAGACTAAAGGCAGGTCTAGCCAAGGATCAGTTTACTAAAGATGACTTTTGTTGTTATCATTCACATGAGGTCAAGAAAATTATCTGTAATCTTTAACTCTATCTCCATTAGAGAGTAAAAATTTTCCCCTCATTAAAGAGAAAACCGAAGGGTAAAATTACTACTGAGAATCTAACATGGAAGAACCCCAAGAGCCAGGGAGGTGAGTTTAGCTCACCACCTAGATGAACAGAGTATACATCTAAGACCTTGGCCTAGTGTAATGTAAGCAAATGCACATAGAAAAAAAGAACATAAACAAATAGCCACAAAAAAGTCAGGCATGGTGGCTCATGCCTGAAATCCTAGGGCTCAGGAAGCTGAGGCAGGAGGGGGATGCACTGCATTCTAAATTCTAGGCCACAGTAAGCTAAAGAATAGACCTTAACATGTGAACAAATAAGCAAGCAAGCAAACAAACAAACAAAAAAAGAATCACAAACCTCATGCAGTTACCTAAATTTACCTTCTTGTGCCCTTAAAAAGAAAAAGAAAACAAACAAAAGAAAAAACCACTAATGTGGGTGGTAGTGGTTCAGAGGGTAAAGTGCTATGAAAGCATGAGGACCTGAGTTCAGATCTCCAACACGCATGTAAAAGCTGCATGTTTGGTGCCCATCTGTAAGACCAGCACTGGGAGTGGACAGGCAGATCCCTAAAGCTCAAGAGCCAACCCATGTAGCTGAAATGGTGAGGTCCAAGTTCAGTGTGAGAGACCCTGTCTTAAAATATTAAGATGGAAAGCAACTGAGGAAGAATCCTGTATGTGACCTCTGGCCTCCACACACGCACACATATGTGCACACAACTCTAATATATGACCCTGATGTTCTATAATAAAAATCCCTTAATAGAAGAAAATGGATATTTAAGTGTTTAGGCCTATGCACTAGTGAGCAATTAACAAAGATGGGAGTAATTAATTTCTACTTTAATCTCTAACTTTTTAGAAATCGAAGAGCTTTTATCCTGTCATGAATAGTCCCAGGCCACAGCAAACTGGGGTAAAATTATAAAACATTAACAGAGTGCTTTCAATTAGAGAAAAATCTGCAAACACCAGCGGCAATTCCATATTCCTCTATTAGCTGCAAAGAGAACTGAAAGAATGCAAGCTGGGGCAATGCACTCAGCAGTAACCCTGCAGTATGGGAGGTTGAGACCGGATGAGCACAAGTGCAACATCACCCTGGTCCTACCTCAACCTACCCACTCCCCCTACAGTGAAGTAGAAATATTTACAAGTTAAAATTCTTAACAGCACAAAGCATGTTGATAAGGTGAAGCATTCATTTAATCCCAGCATTAGAGGGTAAAGGCGGCAGAGAGATCTCTGAGTTTGAGACCAGCCTGGTCTACATAGTGAAAACCTGTCTCAAACCCCATTCCCCATTAAAAAAAAGTAAATAAATAAATAAATAAATAAGGTCAAGATGGTTCAGGTCATTATTTAGGTTCTTTGCATGGGGATTTAAACGCCAACAAGCAATAATGACACAGCAATGTGTTTTCCTGAAAATTACAATTAAAACTAAGGTGGAATTTTCCCAAGCAAACATATACAAAAGTAAAAACTAGGATCCCATCATCCTTTGTAAAGTGACAGTGCTGAGGAATTCTTCCTAACGTACACCACCACGAGGTGGACAAACATGCTGTAAAGGAAAACATACAGAGCTCCTGAGCATGGTATCCATCCACATGGTTAAGAGAAACCGTTGTCTCTGACCTCAGCACAGGCATGGCGCTGAACATACGCCCACAACTCACCACCCCAAATAAATAAAAGTATTAAAAGTCATAAGACACCTATAGTTATTGGGGGAAATATTTATTTATTTATTTAAAAAAATTTTTTTTTAAAGACTAGTCAAGTGCAGTAGTGAGAAGGGGGAAAGTATAGAACAGGAGTTCAGTCTGTAACTGACTGTGAACAATCAATTGAGATAACTCACTACCTTCGGACCAGCCTGGGGGAAATATTTAAAAACGTCTGCCTCAGCTCTTAATTTACTAAAAGGCCACAGTATTTTTTGTTCTTCTTTAATAGGGTAATAAGTTATGCTTGTTTTTGATACAGGGTTTCTCTGTGTAGCCCTGGCTGTCCTGGAACTCACTATATAGACCAGGCTGGCCTCAAACTCAGAGATCCACCTGCTTCTGTCTCTGGGATTAAAGGCATGAGCCACTAAGCCCAGTTTAAATTCACTTTTCATTAACAGCTAACAAAGCTACATGGATGGTTAACCCAGACTGCTTTAATTAACACTATCAATGCAACTTGTAACTGAATTTTCTGTTATAGCACTGTGAATGATGAAACCTTTCAGACAGCTATATTAGCTCCCTAGCAGGGAGTTTTGGGGTTTGGGGGTGGGGTGTTCCTGTAGCCCAGGTTGGCTTTAAACTTGCTATGTAGCAGAGGATGACTTAGCTTCTAACCCACCTTCCCAACGCTGGTTATCACAGCTGCACACTACTCTGGAAAGGGAACAAGTATTTTCAACTGAGCCATGGATACAAACCAGATGCCTAAAACATAGCAGGGTTAGAAGAGGAGTCTTTAAAAAGTATTTGTAGAAGAATAAAAAATTGCTTTTTAACATGGGTTCATATGGTGTGAAAACCAAAATATATTTTCACCTGTAGCTTATAAAGTTCTCCTATGGCCCCAAGTTTTTGGGTTCTTTTTAGCTGAATGTAAGAACAGTAACACAGACTTACTTTTGACAAAGGAAACGCCTAAACTGTTTTATTATAGGCAATAAAGGACTTGCAGAAGTGGAAAGCCCAATCCGTGGCTGTAGTTTGCTCCATTAGGAAGAGCAGTATGTCTGGGGCTGCAGCATGTGTTTCAAGCCACTGCTATCCTTTCGAATTTGTGGTCTTTAGAAAAGGCACCAGCTTCTCAAGCCACTCTACACCTCGTGCAATACACACGCTTCCTAACGTCACTAACAGGGGGCACTAAACACCTCAACCAGCTCCCAGGCTGAATTTTCACACTACACTCAGTAACTGCTGGCAGCTCTCCCATCTCGTTATGCAGCATGGAGTGATGTCTATCTTGGCTGAGCACACGGCTCCACATGTTGGAGGTAAGGCTTGCAGCGACATAGGCTTCAGTAACTTCCTAGTCATCTTCCAGTTGTCCAGCTTCCAAGTAACATTTGAAGAGTAGGGCCCAAACCCCAATCCTCAGGCTGTTACACATTAACCCTGAGATGACAGTGGCACCAATCCTCCCAGCACTCGCACTGAGAAAGTTGAAACAGGTTCAGAGCGAGTCCCAAGGCAGCAAGGGCTACATACAGGGAGACCGCCTCAAAAACTAAACTTGAAATAAGTTTTGAGCAAACTACTCTGAAACTGAGGTCCGACGTTTTTAAAAGTGTGTGGTAGTTTTTTTTTTTTTTTTATACCTGTGCTGATGAAGGAAAAAAACATGGAACGCTTCTCTAATCGCTTCTAGGCCTTTGGGCTAAGATCAAGTGCAGAATGACGCTCTAGTTTTATGTGACTCTACGATGCTTGCGCATAAGGTCCCAGGTATAAAAGACTCTCGTTCTCCAAGGCAAGGGACAGCCGGAGAGGTGCAGTAAGAAACCGCGGAAGAAGTGATGGGCAATTCTGGCTGGGCGGGAGGGTTTAGCGTCAAGGGCCTTAAGACTGCCTAAGTCTGGATCAACTCGGGCCCGGGCATCATGGCTGGCACTGGCAACCCCAGCTGCGTCGGCCTAGGGAGCGCGCTGGGGATGAAGGAGTCGTAAGCAGGCGGGGACGCGGAAGCGCATGGCCGTCATGGCAGCGGCGACGGCAGCAAAGCGACAGCGCCCACAGAAGCTGAGCATCGCCGGGAGGAGCAGCGAGGACAAAGGCGCGGGAGGCCCCGCGACGGCGGAAGAGCAGAGCGGGGGGGGGAAAGGTGGGGGGAGCGGGGGCCGAGACCGGCGCGGAGCTGCTGCGGACGACTGCGGTGGCTCGGAGCAGTGACCGCCCCGCGCTCCGATCCGCGAGGCCTCGGCTCCGCGCACTCACCACTGGGAGCTCCGTAATGGCGGCCGCGACGGCGGCGGGGGCGGAGAGCCCGAAGGGGCGGGTCCGCCGCAGCCAGTCACTACCGCCGGCATCTTTCGAACCGGCTTGGAGACCGTTGAGAGTAGGCCGAGGGGAGGGCGCGGCGGAAGTCGGGCCGCGGGCCTCGGAGCATGCGCGAGTCCGCAGCCAATCGGGCGCCGCGCTGCACGCCGGTGCATGCGCACTGGGACGCACGGGGGGGTGGGTGTCTCACACACACACGACAAGGGAAGACCTGCCCCTCCTCCCCAAATCCAAACAAAACAAGGGCGGGAGCGCGCGTCGCCGGGCCCCGGAGGCCTGCGCGGCAGGGGCAGGGGCCGGGTGGCAGGCGCGACGCGAGAGGGCGCAGCGGCCGGGGCGGGCGGACAAAAGGCGCCGGCTCCCGGGCCCCGCGCCCCGCCCCCTGCGCCTGGGCAGCAGCGGCGTCAGCGCCCAGGCCGGCGGCCTCCGCCACTCGCGCCCGGGGCCCGCGCTCACTTCTCGCGTGCCGGGTCCGTCCCGAGTTACCTCTGAGCTCCGGAGACCCGGCGCCCGCGATCCGCACGGCCTTTCTGCGTTGCCGCCGCCGCCGCCGCCGACCGCCGACTCCGACACCGCTGTCCTCCAGGCCGGGCACCGAGCTCTACCGCCCCGCCCCCCTGCCCGCGGCCTCGCGCGCGCGCCCCCGCGCCGGCCCCGCCCCCCGCGCGCGCCCCCGCGCCGGCCCCGCCCCCCGCGCGCTCCCTCGACGGTCCCGGGCGGGCGCGGGGGCGCGAGAGGGCGCTCGGGGACGACGGGCGGCGCGGGGCGGACGGGAGCTTCCTGACTGTGTCTGGCGCGCTCGGCTCGTCCTCTGTCGCCGACCCAGGGCCCTTCATGTTTCGGGTTCCAGCCTCCCGTAAACCCTGGAAGACGGCGCTGGACTAAACGCCAGCCACGATCCTGAGTCCACACGGGACTGGCAGTGTAGTGGCCAAGGACTGGAAGATGCTGTTCTCCATCGTGAGCCGGTCTGCCCGAGCTTCCTGATCAGCATGCACAAACAGGCCCCCCCCCCCAAAAAAAAAAAAACCTCGGGATTAAGAGAAGGGAGTTGCCTTTGAATTGGCACTTTACGTTGGGATTTACACAACCACCGCTGTTGAGAACTGTCATCTTGGGTCTGGAGAAGTTGTCAGTGGTTGGGATTTGTCTAATGTGAAGAAAGCCTTGGGTTCATTTGCCAGCACCTCAGAAAGACTAGTGTGCTGGCGCAGTCTTGCAAAGCTAGCACTCAGTAGGTGGAGGCAAGAGGATCAAAATTTCAAGGTCATTTTGGGCATGGAACCAATTTAAGGCCAGTTTGGGAATGCGTGAGAACCGGTTGAAATACGGAAGGGACATAAAGGAAAGGTGGTAGGTGTGATTCTTCAAAGCCAATTTGGGAAGAACCAAGTGTGTAAAGTAGCGGGAGTCTGTGGATATGGAGCTGGTCTCTGATGATGCATGCCTTGTGTTGAAGCTGGTGCGGTGGACCACTCAACTGTAGGTCAATCTTTCTAATGGCTGACTTCGGAAACCAGTTAAATATACCTCTATTCCCCTGATCTGCTATTGGCCAACGCTCCAAAAGTTCTAAGTCGATTAAATCACCACCGTTAAAAACTCCTCACTGGTGAGCATCAGCACTGGTGACATTACCAATCCCTGGAACACTGGTGTCATAGTCAAGCCCTTCAAAAGGGATTTATGGGGAGACCAGAGTTGGATTTATGAGGAGTTGAAGGAGGGAAAAAAACATCAAATATATTGTATGGAGAAAATATTAGAAAATGTTAAAGGGGGAATTTTGGTCATTTTGAGGGATTCTGTTTTCTTAATAATTCTATATCTTTTTTAAACCCTCTCTTGGAAATGTTTTTATTCTTGTATATGTGTGTATGACTGTGTGTGTCCTCCAAGTGTTTGCAGGTATTTGAGGATAGTCTGCATCCCTGGGAATTTAGTTGAAGTCAGTTGTAAACTGCTGGGAACCAAACTGAAGTCCTCTACAAGAACAAGGGACCTAAACCACTGAGACACCTTCTGTCCCCATCCCACTTGTGGTGGTTTGAAAAAAATGGTCCCCAAAGGGAGTGCCACTATTAGGAAGTATGGTCTTGTTGGAGGAAGTGTGTCACTGTGGAGGTGGGATTTCAGGTATCTTTTGCTCAAGCTTTCCTCAGAGTGGCAGTGGACTTCCTGTTGCCTGTAAGATGGAGGACCCTCAGCTTCTCTTGCAGACATTACCATGTCTGCACACCAGCATGTCACCATTGTAAGCAAGTGTTACAGCTCTGGAAGGAAAGGTATCCTGACTCTTCTGGGAGTCAGGCTGTATCTGGAACTGCAGTGGGCAGCCCTGGAGGGAAAGGTATCCTGATTTGTTGGAGAGTCAGGCTATATCTGGAGCCGCAATAGAACAGCTCTGGAGACTAGACAAGGGGACACCTGAAGCTGGGGTAAAGTGGGGGATGGTCTCCCCGCAGGATGCAGCAATCCTGCTCCTCTCCTAGAGAAAGCTGTTAGAGCTGAGCTCCACTCCATTCTCCTATTGGAAGCTACACGTTTCTTCCCATCTGCTCCAACCCAAGATGTCATTTCTGTTGTACTCTGCTAAAGGGGAAGCCCCTGCAGAAATGTAGCAATCTCCTTGGGCTCTGGTGAAAAATTAAAAATTACCTTTTCTGCTTAACTCCCAAGGGAGTCTCCTAGCAGATGTAACTGTTTCTTCTGGTTTTTCTGCTCAGCTCCTTAAGGGAACGTCTCAGGATGATGAAAGATCTTCTCCCAAAACTCTTTTAAGAAAGATTTATTTGGGAAGGAGTAGTTTTGGAGAGTGGCTGCCTCTGCCAGGGAGGGAAAGGATAGCCAGCTACTGAATAGGCAGAGGGGGTTATATAGGGTGTCTTAGGGGTGGAGTTTTCCAAAGGAAGAGTTGGCTCTGGTTTCAGGGTCAAACTATTTCTTTCACTGGCCTGTTTGTTTGTTTTTTGGCTCTAGTTTTGGGACCAGGACATATTTCTTTCGCTGGTTCTAATTCCAGGGCCAAAGTGAGTTTCTTTGGCACTGGTTTCAGAGTCAGGGTGTGTTTCTTCATGTTCTGGGTTCAGGGCTAAAGGGTGTGATTCTTTCACAGCTCTGGTTTCAGGGCCAGAGTGGGTTTCCTTGGCTATCCCTTTTACCCTGCATTCCCCCCTTTTTTGTTAATGAACCACCAGTGGAGGTTGGAAAGGGGGCAACATTTTTGTTAGACTACTTCCTGCTGAATGGGGGCATCAAGGTTCATGGGACAGTCTTGATCTTCATCCTCAGGATGACCTGTTTACCCTACAGCTATGTTCCTCACCATGCTGATAATGGACTGAACCTCTGAACTGTAAGCCACCGCAGTTAAATGTTTTCCTTAGAGGAGTTGTATTGTCATCGTGTCTCTTCACAGCAATAGGAAACCTAACTAAGACACCACTTTTGTGTATGAATATTCTGAAAAACTTCCTATAATTGGCATATGTTTGTATTTAAGACAGGATCTAAGTAGTCCTGTCTGTCCTAGAACTTACTATGTAGACAGACTGGCCATCTGCTACTTTCTACATTTTGAGTCCTCTCTCATGCAAGATGATTCCAATAAGAATTGGGAGGCATCTCCACAGATTTATACCTAAAATTAAAAGTATCTCATTCTGTTTACAAGAAAGCAGAATAAGAGAACAAAAATGTAAAGAACACACAACCATGTAATTGCCAGAAACTGAAGCTGTAAATCTCAAGAAAGCACTTGTAACCTGGTGTGGTGGCACACTCCTTTGATACCAGTACTTGGCAAACAAAGGCAGGCAGAGCTCTCTTGAGTTCAAGGCTGCCTGGTGTATATAGTAAGTTTCAGGACAGCTAGGGCTATGTAGAGAGACCCTGTCTAAATGGGTAGGGGCAAACACACACACATGAAAAAAAAAACCCTGGGAAATGTTCTGACCTACTGTTCCTTTAAGACACAAGCCATGCCTACTCCCCCTTCCACTTCCAGCCTCTTCCAGCCAATACTCTCTCTGTCCCCATCTCTCTTCTGAAGAGGTGGCTGAGGCCTCTCTCTCCTCCTCTCCTTTCCCTTTCCTTCCATAACCCACTGAATGAACTATACCCAAAACCCTCTCTCTCTGCATGGCGTCTATCCAGCTCTCACCCACCGCAGATCCTCATGGGACAGACTGCCTTGCTGAGGTCTCTCACCCGTCACCTCCCACCGCCTGGGACCCACAGAGGCCTTGGGTGGTGGGGTCTGGCTGCTGCTCATGGCCCACTGCCGCCTCTCAGGTAACTGTGCCGTTTTACCATTAGAGGAATGTCATCACATCATATCTAACTTTCAACAAAAGCTAAGGTGTATTTAACTGGACATAAAGCAAGCTTTGCCGAATCCACAGCCTGTTGTTAAGGCAATAATTGTTTTTTTTTCTCCCTCCTTGTCAGATTTATAGATGTATGGCATTTAAATCTGTTAGACTAAAACTTGATATTTGAATAGGAAAGAACAGGTGGCTTTGGGGTGTTTGGCATACAGATGGAGAAAGTTGAAGCCACTGATGATGACTGAGTTCCACCCCAAAGCAGTATCGTGGTCTTGAGGCTGAGCATGGAACAATAGTTACTGTCTTACAACGTGGCTCCCATTTGCCAGGAGCATGATTCGGTGCAGCAGGACCCATCAGGTCCTCCTAGAGTGCTTCCTCGGGGCTTATAGACAAACAGCCAAGACTTTCATTGTAAGAATAGGGTTTTTTACTCAGCCTTGAGTGTGCTGGGCAAGTGTCTACCCTGAGACACACCCTCCACTCTAGGATTTCCAGGACCACTGTCGAGTTTGCAGCATCTTTCATCTTGGAGCATTTACAGTTCAGCTCTCAAAGCAAGAACACAGAGACTGTTGTCAGAGATGTCTTTCCGTGTGGGAACAGATGCTAGGGTCCAGGTTACAAGCCTAGTCTGGCTAGTAAGGTCCCTCCCCTCCCCTTCCTTGATACTGGAGGGACCACAATTGCATTGGAGCTGATGAAGACCTTGCTTGCTGGGTATGCTAGAAAGAACAGACCTAGTTTTGATGTCACTGTGTAATAGAAAGTAAAAATGAGCTGGGCATGGTGTACACAGCC